CTTGGAAAAGTTGGACTCTATGGCATTAAACCCCACTGAAGTCCCTCTCACCCCCCAAATCTCCAGGGATGCCCTAACCAATGCTCCCTCTAAACTGTGGAGTCTTGTGAGCAAAAATTCTACTTTGTGAGCTCCTGGCGTTAAAGTGGTGAGTGAGCCATTTGGCTGCTGCATAAATTAGTCTGTTCTGGAGCCCCATCATTCCTGAGCTAAGACAAAAACGTGTGAGCTGGAAGCTACAAAACCGTGAGCTAGTTCACACTAGCTCAGCTTAGAGGGAACACTGCCTGTGAGGTAGGTGGGGCTGAGAGAGCTCTTTTCAAGAACTGTTCTTTCAAGGACAGCTCTTGTCAGAACTACGGCTTGCCCAAGGTCATCCAACCAGGTGCAAGTGGAGGAGTGGGGAATCAAACCCCGTTCTCCCAGATTAGAGTCCACATGCTTAACCACTACACCAAACTGGTCAAGGAGCCACTCTGGGTGTGAGAAGACTTTTGACCTAGAATTGGGACTGTGGGAAGGGGGCTCTTCCGGGCACATAGGGGCCTGCCACCGTTCCCCCTGCGGGAGCAGCTGCCTTCCGGAGACACAAGACCACGGCCATCTCAGCAGCACCTTCATCCCCGAGGATGGAGTCATTTGTCTGCTGTAATAAATTCTATAACAAAGCAATGAATCACCAGGAATAAATCTGAAATATTGCAAGAGGAGAGAGCTGGATGCCGTTGATTTATAGCCTGCAAACGCCATGTGTCTTCCCGGGCCAGCGGGGAGGGAGGGAGGGGGGGTGTCCTCAGGGAGTTGTGTCAATGCCGATGAGGTCTGAATCCAGCCTTCCTGCTGGTTTGGTCTGAGACACATAGTTATTTAGGGAGGCGTCAGGATTGTTCTTTCGGCCGCCCTTTCGTTCCTGTCCTGGCAGCCATCTAGAAATGCCCATGTCTGGTACCCAAAACCATGTGTTTTTCTCCTTCTCCCCAAATGCTAGGACTTGAGCAATGTTCCCTCTAAGCTGTAGAGTCCTGTGAGCAAAAATTCTACTTTTTGAACTATCGACATTAAAGTTGTGAGCAGGTGATTTGGCTACTGCATAAATTAGTTTGCTCTGGAGCCCTCCTTCCTGAGCCAAGACAAAAATATGTGAGCCGGAGGCTAAAAAACTGTGAGCTAGCTCACACTAACTCAGCTTAGAGGGAACACTGGACTTGAGGGCATCCAATGAAGCTGATGGGTAGTAGGTCTGGGACAGACAAAAGGAAATACTACTTTACAGAGAGAGTGATTAACATGTGGAATTCGCTGCCAGAGGACGTTGTGATGGCCAGAGGAATAAACAGCTTTCAAAGGGGATTAGACAGATTCATGGAGGATAAGTCTATCTGTGGCTATTAGCCATAGTGACTGAGGGGAACCTCCACATTCAGAGGCAGTCAACCTCTGAATCCCAGGATTCAGCCAGGAGCAGCACTCCCTGTAAGCTGTGGAGTCCTGTGAGCAAAAATTCTACTTTGTGAGCGACTGGCATTAAAGCTGTGAGCGAGCGATTTGGCTGCTGCATCAATCAGTTTGCTCTAGAGCCCCATCCTTCCTGAGCTAAGACAAAAGCATGTGAGCTAGAGGCTAGAAAACTCTGAGCTAGCTCACACTAACTCAGCTTAGAGGGAACGCTGGCCAGGAGGCAACATCAGGGGAAGACCTCGTCCACTGTGCCCTGTTGTTGCCCTCCAGAGGAACTGGTTGGCCACTGTGTGAGATGGGATGCTGGGCTAGATGGACCACTGGTCTGATCTAGAGGTGCTCTTCTGATGTTCTTATCTTCCACATTCAGAGGCACCAATCCTCTGAATCCCAGAGCCAGGAGGCAACATCAGGGGAAGGCCTCGGCCTCTGTGCCCTGTTGTTGGCCCTCCAGAGGAACCAGGTGGCCACTGTGTGACCACAAGAATTGTAATATCATGCCAAAATGACGCTGAATAATGAAGCTTATAATAAAATGTATTGACTTCCTTGAAGGTAATCACAACGCACAATACTTATTTTCAGTACACAATACAAGCAATGCTATTATCCAGTAAGAGGATCACTCTATAATACTCATGTCACATCAAAGAATCTGTTTAAACATGTGAGGAGAACTACATACAAATCAAGATACCACAACTCATGTCACATCAAAGAATCTGTTTAAACAACTCATGTCACATCAAAGAATCTATTTGAGCATTTGAGGAGAACTACATACAAATCAAGATACCACAACTCATGTCACATCAAAGAATCTGTTTAAACACGTGAGGAGAGAACTACATACAAATCAAGATACCACAACTCATGTCACATCAAAGAATCTGTTTAAACACGTGAGGAGAGAACTACATACAAATCAAGATACCACAACTCAGTTGTGTCACTTTGAGCTGTGATACCTTGCTTTGTAAATGAGTTGGCAGGTGTCAGGAGAAATGTCAGCAGGTGCCATGGTGCCTATGGGCACCGTGTTGGGGACCCCTGGTTCAGAGCATTGGGGAATCAATAATGGGGTGTTGTTGTTGTTCAGTCGCCCAGTCGAGACCGACTCTTCACGACCCCATGGACCAGATCCCGCCAGGCCTTCCTGTCTTCTGCCGTCCTCTGAAGTTTGCTCAACTTCATGTTGGTTGCGTCTATGACACTGTCTAGCCATCTCATCCTTTGCCGTCCCCGTCTTCTTTGACCTTCCATCTTTCCCAGCATCAGGGTCTTCTCCAGGGAGTGCCCCCTTCTCATTTGGTGTCCAAAGTATTTGAGCTTCAGTTTCAGGATCTGGCCTTCCAGGGAACAGTCAGGGTTGACTTATTTTAGGATTGACTGATTTGTTCTTCTTGCAGTCCAAGGTGCCCAAATCACACCACTGCTTCCTCTTTTTCTTCCTTTCCAAGCAGAAGATAAATCAGATTCAGGAGCGACGGCAGCCGCGGCGTTGAATTGGACCCCGTCTGGCTTCGGAAGCATCAACATGTCAGTGGAAATCAATGGCACAATCTACGCTGGTGAGGAAGTGGCCATTTCTAACGAGGGAAGGCGGGGCTGGTGGGCTCATTCACGAGCGTCCCCTACGATGTCAGACCCCCAGTCCGGGATCTTGTTTCCACACAGTAGCCTCTGTTGTTACTTCCTCTTCCCTGTCTGGGCAGGCGGGGCTGCAGTATCCCCTGGACGCTGTGGTCACCCTTCCCGGGACAAATAGAACCTCACTTTGAGAACCGATCCCCACCACAGGCAGAGGTGTCTATCTGTCTTGAGATACTGTAACTGGAGGGGCCAGGAATTGAACCTGGGGCCTTCTGCATGTAAAGCACCTGCTCTGCTGCCCAACCCTCTCGCCTCTTTGCGAGACAAGACCAGCTTGTCTCAGACTGCTCAGAAATGTTTACCAGCAGGGCTATTTTTGGGCAGGAACGCACAGGAACGGAGTTCCGGCTGGCTCCCGAGTTGGCCACGCCCAGCAGGAACTCATTAGCATAATAGGCCACACCCAACAGCAGGAACTCATTCGGATTGGCTACATTAGGGGTGTGTGGCCTAACATGCAAAGGAGTTCCTGCTACAAAAAAAGGCCCTGGGTTTTGACAACAAACAAGGTAAACAGAATAAGAAGGGAAAGGTGGGTGTGGCTGGATGTCCACACTTCTGGTAACATGGGGGTGCGGCCTAATGTGCTAATGAGCTGTGCTGTCAGGGGTGTGGCCCAATATGCTAATGAGTTCCTGCTGTTGTGTGTGGCCTATTATGCTAATGAGTTCCTGCTGGGCTTTTTCTACAAAAAGAGCCCTGTCCAGGATGGGATCTGAAAAGCCATCTTAGGAATACACCCGATGCTCCTATCCAGTAGAGTAATATTATATAGGGAAAACGTCTGGCATCAGCGACACTCGAGGGGACCTCCTTCTCTTATCCAAACCTGCCCGTCAGCTGAGGGCCTTTTGTGAGGTGGGGGTGGGGGGGGCGCTACCATTTTTGAAGGTGAAGCGAGTGGCTCTTGGGAACGGGGCCTTTTTTGTGGTGGCCCCCAGATCCCAGGTCTCCCTGCCCAGGTAATATTCACGTGAACCCCGGTATGGTTGCCAGCCTCCAGGCGGTGGCTGGAGGACCTCCCAGTATTACCACTGATTTCCAGGCAACAAGAGATCAGCTTCCCTGGAGGAAACGGCCGCTTTGTAAGGTGGACAAAAAATTAGGGGGCGGGTCTGTGGCTCAGTGGTAGAGCATCTGCTAGCAATGTTCCCTCTAAGCTATGGAGCCCTGTGAGCAAAAATTCTGCTTTGTGAGCTACTGGCATTAGAAGTTGTGAGCAGGAGCTTTGGCTGCTGCATAAATTAGTTTGCTCTGGAGCCCCTCCTTCCTGAGCTGAGACAAAAATGTGTGAGCCAGAGGCTAAAAAAGCTGTGAGCCAGCTCACACTAATTCAGCTTAGAGGGAACACTGTCTGCTAGGCAAACAGAAGGTCCCAAGTTCAATCCCCGGCATCTCCAGCAGGCGGTAGGCAGTGTTCCCTCTAAGCTGAATTAGTGTGAGCTGGCTCACAGCTTTTTTAGCCTCTGGCTCACACATTTTTTGTCCTCAGGAAGGGATGGCTCCAGAGCAGGCTAATTGATGTGGTAGCCCAATCTCTCGCTCACAACTTTAATTCCAGGAGCTCACCAAGTAGGATTTTTGCTCACAAGACTTCACAGCTTAGAGTGGTGGTAGGTGATGTGAACGGCCTCTGCTTGAGACCTTGGGGAGCTGCTGCCAGTCTCAGTAGACAACACCGAACATTGCTGGGCCCAAGATCTGGTTCAGTATAGTGCCGCTTCGTGTGTTCATGTGACTCTATGGCAGTGGTGGCAAACCTATGGCACGGCTACCAGAGGTGGCACTCAGAGCCCTCTCTTTGGGCACTTGTGCCATCGCCCCAGCCAGGCCCAGACCATCATTAAAGTGTCGAATTCTCTGCCAAATAATTTTAAGTAAATGAAAGCATTTGGGATTGCTTTCCTTACTTTGTTTGGATCATCTTAAGTTAATGTATGAGTTGTTCTTTCTAAAGTAAAACCTACGTATTCAGGTTAAATTGGCGTGTCGGCACTATGCGATCAATAAGTGGGTTTTGGGTCGCAGTTTGGGCACTCGGTCTCTAAAAGGTTCGCCATCACTGCTCCATGGCATTATCCTCACTGAAGTCCCGCCCCCTCCCCAAACCCCGCCCTCCATAGGCTCCGCCCCCAACATCTCCAAGTATTTCCCAGGCCAGAGCCGGCAACCCCGCCCCATCTCCGGTCCCGTGTCTCATCAGTCTCAAGTTTTTTTATAACGAACATTCTCTCAGGCCTCCGTCTTGGTTGGTCGGTCGGTTCTTGAAATAATCCTCTTGTCATGGTTTTGTTTCTCTGCCCTCCCTGCAGGAGTGCTGTTTGCCCAGAAGCCGGTCGTCCACCTCATAGCTGGATCCAGCACGCAGAGTACCGGTGGGGGGGGCAGCAGCAGCAGTAGCTCCCACTGCTCCCCCAGCCCCACCTCCTCGCGGGGCACTCCCAGCGCCGAACCCTCAACCAGCTGGTCTCTCTGAGGGAAACCGAGGGGCAGGTCTCCGGCCTTGAAGCGGCTCCTCGTAACCCCGAAAGGAGCCGGTCCGGTTTTCTGTCTTTTCTCTTCTTCTTCTTCTTTTTTTTTAAAACCTCATCTCGAGGAAGCCCACTTTTGCGATCGGCTGACGGCAGAGAACGGAAGGGGAGATTCCGTACCGGTTGAGCTCCCCGCGGGGACGGTTCTCGGCCGTCTGTCCTTAGCCTTTGTTCAGGTTCTTGCTGTGTCCCGGGTGGGGAGGGGGGCGGGATAAAGGGTGGCAAAGGGAGGGGGGGGACACAGAGCGTGTTTCAATCAGGGATTCTCTCGAGGGGCCGTGCATTTCTGTAGATGACTGAGCCTCGCCACGGTAGCGGAAGGCCGGAGAGGGTTAGTAAACCCGTTCCCCAAATCGGAAGCCCGAAGGAGTGTGCTTTTTAAAAACAATTTTTAAAACGTCCTGCAGTGTATTGACAATCCTCACCCCGGAGGCAGCGGTGGGACACGGCTGATTCTCTCTCGCCCCACCCTCTTGGATGCGGCTCGGCACACACATTCACTCGACCCTTCTGCACATTGCTGGCACGTGGATCTTATCTTCTTTCCCCCCGTACGCCTTCCTCTAGGCTTCGTAGGCCAGTGTGTTCCCTGTCCCCTTCTCTTCTGCCCGCCTCTTCTTCCATGAGTTCAGCCCACTGCTTTCCTCTGGAGGGTGTCGCATTACTTTGCTACTGTGACATCTGCAGCAAGACTTGGTGGGAGGAAGCCAGCATCGATCCTTCTCCATGGCCGAGATTTTCACAAGCACCAGGGAGAGCCCCCCGCCCCCCAAACTGGGCCTTCCTCTTCACGCTTGGCTGTGAAATTCCTTTTCAGTGTGCGTGGGCACTTGGATCTTTTCTTCCCTTGCCTGCCAAATATCTCAGAGTATGGGGCTCTTTGAGATTCCCCCAGGGAGGGGGGTCCTCCAGTGCCTCTCACTCTCCCGGGGGGGGGGGGCACGCTTTATCTGCATTACCTGCCTGCGTCCACCCTCTCCCTGCTTTCAGGACCCCCAAATCATCAGCAGACCTGAGTGCTCTCAGCTGCATTATTGTTATTATTTTTAAATCTTTCTTTTCTTTATCCAAAGCGCTCGGGAGAGCAGACATGGTTCTCCTGTTCCTCTGCAATGCCCCTGAGAGGCAGGCCAAGCTAGGGAATGAGCGATGGGCCCTCCACGTCATTTCATGGGTCGGACAGGGATTCGAACCCCTCCCCAGCTCCTTCCCCTAATCGAGTGCCCCCTAATCACTGTGCCATGCCGGCATTTGCAAAAGGGAAAACAAACCACTGAGCATAGCAGGCTGGTTCTCCCCCCTCCCATTTAGCTGCATTACGGCTCCACAAGACACACACCCCCAGAGCCCCCTCCTTGTATTTCCTCTCCTTTGAAGTCGTTATAAGAAACAGGGAAGCCATCTTAGTTGCTCCCGTAACTGGCCTTCCTCCTCTTCCTCTTCCTGACTTCCCTCGCCTCCCGCTTTGTCCCCTTTTTGTGTCTAGACACAGTTCTTGTTCTGTGCCGTACTCTCCCCCCCCCCCACCTGCTCACCACCCCCGT